AAAATAAAAACATCTGCGCTGAAGATAAGGATAGTGTTGACAGATCAACTTCCAATTCATTACGCGCTCGCCGCGGCGATCCCCCCGCCGAGCAGCGTGAAATTGATAAACAGATTTCGGATTTCAAAACATACTTTCGCTTTAGATCCTTTACATATTAACAAATATATATCGGAAATTCTATTTGATATAATCGAAAGTTTAAGCTTACTTTTATAAAATTGCTCTTACAGTCTGCAAAAAAAAATAAGCCGGATCCAATTCGAAAATTAAGGAACCACGCAATCATCAACATTAACTGAAATAGATAATTAGATAATTTTAGCTTATACGTCCATTACACATAAAACGCGCACGCGAAAACGTATTCTGCACTTGCGCACACTCATATGCGCAGTCGTAAAAGGTCTTACGCGCACGCGTAAACACCTATGAGCATGTGTCAACGCGGCGCATGCGCAGAAAGTTTTTAGTTTTGAGGTCCGGATTATAGATCATTCCGAATTATGGGTGTCCGAATTAACGACTTTTGACTGTATAAAAAAATAAGATATAACCCATGTGTATACGTTTATATATACATGAGGGAGTCGGAGTGAGAGTCTTTAAAATTCCAGGAGTCGGTCATTTTTCCTACCAACTCCACAACTCTGACTGGTGAGAACTAATGCGGGGAGCCAGTAGAGGTCAGAAACACACTCTGTCTTACACTTCAAAAAGCTCAGTTTAAAAAGAGTCTAATTGATGTGCAGTTTGATGAGGAAATAGAAAGGGAAAATTAAAGTAAAGGCTGAAATTATAAACATTTGGGTAATTTACAAAATAATAACTGCACATATCTTTGAAGAATAATTTTTTTCTCTTCATATATTCAGTTTCTTTCTTCAACATGTTTCCTTTTCATTTTAGAACTTTTGGATTTAATTAAAGATTTCTGTTATGTTAAAAGAACTAAATACATGTAGAATGTATAGAAAAAGCTGATAATTTTCTTTAATAATATGAACATTCAGAAAAAATATGAAATGCATATGGTAAGGCAGGTTACAGAGCTGGTGTGCCAGAAAGTGACACACAGAGCAACAAAATCTAGAAATGGGAGAACTTTTAGAATTTAGAGCAGGAATTGGAAGTAGAATTTAGAAAGGCACTAAGCAGCAGAATTTGGGATCCACAGAGATTGCATCAGGTGGGAAAATGCCCAGCTTCAGCCTTGTGTATGATGTTTTAAGACACATTAGATCAATCTTTTAAAATTGTCAGTTTTCAATTTCTTTATTAATAAAAAAATTCCTTTCAATAACACCTGTTCATGTGATAAGTTTAGAAGCATTTTTGACATTTTCCATGCTTGTACCTAGTGAAAAGTACAGAAAAGAGAGGGAAGATAAACATCTTAAGAAAAAGATTCTAGTACCAGAAGTAAAACATTCAAATATTATGTTTTCATTTCTCTTCCAGACATTCCCCAAAAAGTAAGAAACTCATCACAAACTTTCTGTAAAATACATCCATACATGCAGACATTTTTCACTTTGTCACATTTTTCTGGAATCTTCTAGAATCGTGGGTCTACAAATCTTGCCTTCAAATCCTTCTAAACTTTTCAAGCTGTAATGTCTAAAATCCAAAAGAAAAATTACCCCTACTAATTCTGTAACAGCAAAAAGACAGAAATTTTTTGGAGGGGAAAAAACAAAGGGAACAAGTGTAAAATTAATTTTATAGAGAAAAATTGATGCATGTTCTGAGAATTCTGCATATTCCAAGACAATTATATGGGGAAAAATTCTTACTATGAAAAAATTAAAAAGACATTTTTAACTAATTATATAGCTATTTTGCTTTTGCTAAGAGCTGTTTCATAAATTGTGCTTTATAGCAATATACCTTGTTTATTTTTCAGATCCAAAATATTATATAATAAGCAGAAAAAATGGAACTTCATATAACAAGACAGCGAAAAATAAAAATATTTTTTATCTTAATGTTATTTTTTAAACACAATTTCAATATATTAACATTATTTTAATGAAATTTATCAATGTTACAATGCTTTAGAAAAAAAATCATCGAAAAATTCTCAGATCTCGAAATTAAAAATTTTCTATAGAAACTAATCTTAAAATTGCCAAACTGTTGATAAGTGGCTAAATTTAGAATCATTTAGTAAAAGAATTCACATCCCTAAAAGTGAAACGTTGTTTAAGAGTTCCTCATTATTAAAAATGAAATGATTTTGAAATGCTTACGTTTTACTTCTTGCTCAGAAAATTGAATATCCCACCATTTATATTAGAAACAGGAACAAATTATAACACATGAACCCATTCAAAAGATAACCATATTTGTCAGCAAATTCCCAAAAATATTCCTCTAAAATGCTAATTCACACTCAAAATAGCAGTTGTAAAAACTGACAGAAATTTCAGATGGTTAAAATTAAGAGCCTTCTGCTGATTTTGGCGAAATTAAGGACTTTTAAGGACCGAAAATCAATTTTAAAAACCTAAGGACTTTTAAAGAACCATACGAACCCTGTTCTTCAATTAACAACAACTGATTTGTTACTCAGATAAACCCAGTATCGGTGCCAGAGCTGGTACTGCCGCATTGGGCTGCAGAATTTAGGAAGAGAAAAATGTTAAGAGCTTGACAGCAAAATTATCAAGCAACAAAATTAGGAATGGCAAAATCTTTAGAATTTACGAAAGCCACTGGGATACAAAATTTTTGTAATTTAAGGAGGTACTTGGCAGCAGAATTTTGGACATGCAGATTGCACCGCTTCACAAAATATCTGGTGCTGGCCCTGGAAAAGTATATGTAGAAGTATACAGTCAAAAGTCATTAATCCGGATGTCCATAATTTGGACCACAAAGCTACAAACTTTCTGTGCATGCGTAAAAGCAAAATGCGTTCATGCATGGGTATATGCATTTATGCATGCACATAATACCTTTACTCATGCACATATGCGTTTACACATGCGCATGAGTGAAGGTATGTGCGTTTAATGTACAACGGATGGAATAAGCTAAGCTAAAATGATCTAATTATGTATTTCAGTTAATGTTGCAGATTGTGTTGTTCCTTAATCTTCGAATTGGATTCAGCTTATTATTTTTTGCAGACTGTTAGAGCAATTTTATAAAAGTAAGCTTGAACTTTCGATTATGTCAAAAAGAATTTCCGATTCTTAAGCTGCCAAAGGATCTACAAAGCGAAAGCATGTTTCGATGTCCATCAAACAAAAAGTGGAATTCCTGCAAAAAAATGGATAAAGGCATATCCTTTGTTTTTCTAACCATTACGAAATCTGTTTATCAATTTCACACTGCTCTGCAGCGGTGGGGGGGAAACATCGCGGCATGCAATGAACTGGAAGTTGATCTGTCAGCACTATCCGCATCTTCAGGGCAGATGTTTTTATTTTATTCGGCTTATAATTCCTTACTAAATGTAGTATTTCATCTCGATGTACTTTGTCTTTGATATGATTTAAATCAAATTCCTCATCATTATAAATACCACGAATACACATCAAATAGTTTTCTGGTTGCAATTTTCTAATTTTGACTATGCGTAATGTATGCTTTACGCATGCGTGCGTTGAAAGAAATGTTTAATAAAGTAAACAAATAAATATTAAGCTTTTTTTTTTTTTGTAAATTTTGATACCCTTTAGATCATAATTGCTCTTTATTTCATAAATTCTGGTTTCATATTTTTAATTTTATAATTTCTGCATGCCACCTTACCAGATTTAAATTGATGATCTATAATCAGGAAAAACCGATAATCCGGAATCGCCGAAGTCCTGATGAGTCTGGATTAAAGACTTTTGACTGTACTTATTTGGGACTCAGCTAAGGCTTAAGCATGTGCAGGAAATAGGCATCAGTATAACATATAATTGATGTAATCTACGTTTAACTTTTTTAGAATGCAATAGAAGTGAGACAAAATTCAGTGGACGAACATGCCTTTAGTCACCAATTTCATGATACATCGATAATAGTGTATATGGAATGGGAACTAAGCTTTACAATAACAGCCATGAATTCGATGGTGTTCCGATATCGCAAAAAAAGCAAAATTTTCCTATTAATGGAATTTGTGAAGAAATGTGGAGTTATAAATTTTTGTGAAGAAATTTTGTGAAAAATTTGTGAAGAAATGTGGTTATTAATGAAAATTATATAACAAAAGTTTTTTATTCCAATGATTATGCTCCAATTATTAATCAACATATGGATGGTGAAATTCTGTAGCATGATACTGAATCCAGAAAATATCACTACCAACAGTGACAAAGAGTTTGTGAAAATGAAACTCAATGCAGCATTTACAGAATTCAAACAATGCAGCTTTGTGATTGAACAAGAAATGTCTGTCTATGGAATGTATATCTACGTACAAAAAATGAAACAAATTAAACAACTTACATTGAAATAAATGTTTAATAAAGCAAATAAATGTTGATCTTTTTTTCATATAAATTTTGATTCTCTTAAGGTCATAAATCATCATTTCATTCATTCAATAGTTTTAATTTCATAATTTTTATTTGCCACCTTAGAAGATTTATACTGATCTGGTAAAATCTCAAATCCAGAATCAGCAATGTGCTAATGCGTCTGAATCTCGGGCTTTGTATTTGTGAGTTAAAAGTGAAGGAAAAGAAACAGGTAAAAATATACTAACATAGCAATGAAATTCTGAGGAATGGTTTAATAAAAAAGTAACCAAAATTATTCTTGCATTGTAATTTTCATTAATGACAAAAATGCACATCTTCAGCTTTCTCACATTTTGTTACTTTGCAAAATCAACAAATTTGACTTTTAAAAAAAGTTTCTATTTTGTTATTTTTAATTTTAAAATACTTTGCTATGAAATTTTAAAGTAATAAAAGTTCAGTCCTTAATTTACATATTCATTAATATAACTGTAAATATAGCAAATAACTTGTCTTATTTTGTATTATGTATTTTACCAATTTTAGATAATGGAGGACTTGCAGGTCTAGTTTCAAAATTGTAAGTATCATCAGCAGCATCAGCCCTATCGTTTGATTCACGTGAAATACAAGATGCCATTTTAATTCAAAATCACCAAAATGGAAAGAACTAAAATAAAGAAAAATTTAAAAAATATTAAAATTACCTTACTGTAACAGAGCTTCATTCATCTTGAAGCAAGCTTAATAACAACATTGCAATACTTATGCAAAATAGAAAATAAAATTTTCACAATCATTTGGTTAAAAATTAAATAAAAAAATATTGATATGTTAGACATATAGTAAAATCCTATCTTAACTGATTTTTTTCTCCAGGTTGGCACAATATCAGATCTATTATGCCAATAAATATTTGACTGCAGAACCCTACGACAAAAATGTGTGACATATTAAAAGAAGGAAAAAATAATTAAAGGTTCACATGTTAAACATATTTATTTGTCTGTTAACACATCAGAGAGAACCACTTGTGAGATATTTATACCCTTCTAGAAAGTGGCAGTGGAATTTTGGCAAAATAAAATGTATTGCCACTTGAGAAAAATATTTATGCAAGCCATTCAATGAAATAAATGCACTATTGTTTTAAATACCTAAACCTTTTTCTGTTGCTGTTAAATAAATACAAAACACTCCACGGGCAGATAATTTATGATGAAATAATATCATAAGTTTTCTTTCTTACGATGCACCATTGTTATTGTTAATACATGATTATTTTTAAGAAATAATTTTGGGTTAATCCTAGTATCCGGTGCACACGGGATTTGGCTACTTTTGGCGACTTTATGATGAGCAATAAAAACGGGACATATACGATGAGTAGTAAACGGGTCATTCAAAGAATATATATAGTTATACATAGTATATACTTAGTATATAGTGTATAGTATATACATAGACGTTGTTTGAGTATGTATATAGTGTATAGTTAGACGTTGTTTGGGTCATTTTTGGTGTTGGCGATAATTTTCAAAATCACGCCAAGGCTGCACCGTATACTAGGATTTTACCATAATTTTAATTATATGATTTTAAATTTCTGGAAGATTAATTATTAAACTAGAGGGCTAAACATAACTGTTTAGATCATAAAAGTGGAACAACAGTTTGTGTCACACATAGACTTTTAGCATAGAAACTATCGATTTCAGGGCGAACAAAGTCCTTCTTCATCAGGAGCAAAGAAGGCACAGATTTCTTTGTACTAAACTTCTTAAACTTAACTATTTGGTGAATCTTCGGATTATGATAACTTGGCAATTTTTTGGCGGCCAACACTGCTATGGCAACCAGCAAATTTTTTTTTTTATGCCATTTTGTTTTCACGAAGTAAAGGCACTTGGTTGATCTTTGGATTATGGTAACTTGGCGACTTTTTGGTGAAAATTTGGCGACCAACTCTGCTATAGCAACCCTCTATTTTTTTTCACCGCCATTTTGTCTTCACGAAGTAAAGACATGTTTCTTTTCTTTTTATTTACTCAACACTTTTTCCAACAATCTGCTAGCCGAATTACACTTATGCTAGAAATTTTATGGAACAAAACTGCTTAATCATGACAAATATTAACTGCAAAATTGGGAAAAAGTGCAGAATCGCAAACTCCTTGCCGCGTTTTTCAAAATCGCACATACACAGTAACCATGTACACGTCGACTTATTTTTACTTAAAAAAACATCTCAGAATTGCACAAAAATGGCATTGCGCACACTCTTGACCTTATCCATCTACACTACTATTTTCTCATAAATTACAAAAAGTTGCACGCAAATGCAGGAAAATTTTGTGAATCTTTAAACTCGGTAAAAAGCACATATATGAAATTACCTGATTGCGAACCCTATCCAAGGATGAACATTTCCATGTATAATATAAATAAAATATCCAAAAACTTTTACCTCTAAATTATCTATTATAAACGTCACCAACGAATTTATAACAAAACATTAAAAATGATTACAAATACTTAGTGTCAAATACTTAAATTCTTTCCATGCACATTTACTTCTACTCAAACGTATTCCAAAATACTACAAACATATAACTCTCAAAATCACGATCATTAAATTAAAATATAATTAAATTAAAAAACACTACTTAAAATATAAGCACATACATTAAATTAATAAAAATTAGCTTATAATCCTAATTACTTTAAACTAAATCATTGCTAATAACAATTTTCCAATAATACCATATTAATTTATTTACTCCTTACATTTAGAACAATGCATAAAAATAATATCCTCAAATAATTAAAAATACTAACTTACCTAATCTTCTACAGAATCTTGAGTGCATGGCGGATCACGAAATGTCCATTTCACCAGGTTTCTTGCACCGCCATTCAAACTTATCTGTAATATCCTTCCTTTCACACAATCTCATTTCATTCCCACATATTGGACATTCATACTTATCTGCAATTAAGCAATTCTTTTCAATTACACATAAACGCAATAAAAATTTTAGATTTACTTTATATAGGGCCATGGGATCCAAATATTAAACAACACTGTTTCACATAACATAGAATGAAACTACTGCTATAAATTATAGCAGATATTTTTACAAATTTACCCCCTTTTCCGATTAAAGAACAGTGATTCGTCCATTAATGTCACATGACATATCTCATGATCTCTCATTTCCCTCACACAAAATACAGTCAAAAGTCGTTAATCCGGACTCGTCGGGACTTCGGCGATTCCGGATTATCGATTTTTCCGGATTATAGATCATCAGTTTAAATCTCGTAAGATGAATTATTACATTAAATTATAAAATTAAAATTAGAAATTCTAAAATTAAAAATATGAAACCGTAATTTATGAAATAAAGAACAATTATGATCTAAAGGGTATCAAAATTTGCAAAAAGAAAAAGCTTAATATTTATTTGTTTACTTTATTAAACATTTCTTTCAATGTAAGTTGTTTAAGTTTTGCTTCGTTTCATGTGATAATACTTTCTCTTTAATTCTATTAAACAGACATAATTTCTTGTTCAGTTACAAAGTTCCGCTGTTCAAGTCCTATAATTGCTGTGTCGAGAACACCGACTAATTTGTCAATCGAAATTTTTTCGTTTTCAATAACCTCTGTCACTTTCTTCGCTATCGGAAGTGAATTAAAATGACGAGGAACTTGTTTTAAATCATATCAAAGACGGAGCATATCGAGATGAAATACTACATTTGGTAAGGAATTATAAGCCAAATAAAATAAAAACATCTGCGCTGAAGATAAGGATAGTGCTGACAGATCAACTTCCAATTCATTACGCGCCGAGCAGCGTGAAATTGATAAATGGATTTCGGATTTCAAAACATACTTTCGCTTTAGATCCTTTACATATTAACAAATATGTATCGGAAATTCTATTTGATATAATCGAAAGTTTAAGCTTACTTTTATAAAATTGCTCTTACAGTCTGCAAAAAAATAATAAGCCGGATCCAATTCGAAAATTAAGGAAAAACACGCAATCATCAACAACATTAACTGAAATAGATAATTAGATAATTTTAGCTTATACGTCCATTATACATAAAACGCGCACGCGAAAACGTATTCTGCACTTGCGCGCACTCATATGCGCAGTCGTAAAAGGTCTTACGTGAACGCGGAAACGCCTATGCGCATGTGTCAACGCGGTGCATGCGCAGAAAGTTTTTAGTTTTGAGGTCCGGATTATATATCATTCCGAATTATGGGTGTCCGAATTAACGACTTTTGACTGTAATGCGTAATCGGAACTGAGTGCTTCTCACATTATTCCCAAATTCCTAGGTAATAACCTTTATCGCCTCCAAAATGTTGCCTACTACCTGTTACCATATTCCAAAGATTAGCCAGGCACTTTTTTTAACTCAACATTTTTTCCAACAGCTGAATTATGCTTATGCTAGAATTTTTTTTGAATAAAAGTTCTTAACCCTCTTGTTGCGCATCCCACAATTTCCACGGACAAGGTAAAAGTAGCAAAATTTGTGCAACCCGCGATTTCTGCGGGGATGAATTTTTGCCGTCTATTTAACTGTGCAACCTGCTCTTTCCCCGCTCAAGGTTTCCTTTTAGCTTTTCTGTGACGTTTAATTGTTTATTTAGATGTGGGCTAACAGATGGCATCAGTTGCCCACATTTCTGCCAAATACTCAAGAATACATAATGTAGCATTTTGCTCGCACTTTTCAGAGCTCAAATATGTCTGGCAGGAAACATTTCGCGCGTGATATAACCTATATTCCTGATGATATTTCCGACACTGATAGAAATTCAGACTCTGATTTCAAATATATTGAAGATAGTTATAGCAAAACTGATGAGAATTTCTCAGATTTCCTCTGATTATAGTGATGAATCTGAAAATTCAGTTTCTATTGAAAATGTTCAAAAATGGTGCAAAATTGATATATATGTTTTGATTGATTGAAAAAATTTATATATACAATATATAGCATATATGTTTTACCTTGAAATTTTATAAAATAAATCATAATTTAACCAATATTAATTTTCAAAATTTTTCTTTTATATCATTTTTCCTTCAATTTCAGTATTCTGACAATCTTTTTCTATGATCTAATTCTATATTGAAAAAAAACTCCTTTACAAAAAGTTTTTATACATTTTAACTCTAAACTATATGTAGATTTGATATATGCAATAAAAAAATTCGCAATTTTGAATTTATTTTGATAAAAATAGAATACGCAGTGAGAGGGTTAATCATTACGAAGTTTAGGTGCAAAATTGTTTCTAAGTGCTTATTAGCTGAAATCATGATCGGAATTTTTCGGGAAATAGTGTAACAAACATGTACAGAAATTCGTCTTTTGTAGGATAAATCTATATATTTAATATGTAAATAATATCTCTCATAAATTAGAAAAATATGCACAAAAATGAAGAAAATTTTTGTGAATCTTTGAAATCGATAAAAAGGACACATATGAAAATATCTGAATGTTAAAAATTATGTATTCTGTGCAAATTTTTATATATTTATTTGGCATATATCCCTATCCAAGGATGCACATATAAAATAAATAAAATATGCAAGAAATTACATTATTTAATTTTCCCCTCTAAATTATGCATTATAAAAGTCACTTGGGAATTATAAGGCAAACATTAAAAATGGTTAAAATACTGTTATTTGATAGATTTCATCTTTTTACTAAACTTCTTAAACAGATTACTTTTTTAAACATCAAATTATCTGTTGATTAAGGTGATTCCTGAAAATATTCTCAAAGGTTCCACAGTTTAGTCTTTAGCAAGTACAAATTGAAATGTTGTCAACGGCTGTGGAGAAATACAACCAGAATTACAAATGCAGTTCACTCATACAGCCAACTTTGGAGTAGCTACGTTATTTCGCAAAGTTAGAAATTAATAATGAAGGTATTACAAAAAGTTTAATTGAGAATTATCTCAGATAATTACATATGAATTATTATACAACATTCATGCGTACATTTTTTTTCTTAATTTAAAAATGTGGTATTTTCAAAAACATATGCTTTTCTTAACTCTTATAAAACCGAAACCATATAATCCAAACATAGGGCGGATAATCGTCAAAAAAAAAAAAAAAAAGAAGAAGAAGAAGAAGACTGATTAACCTTTAAAACATATAAAATAAGATCTATCAATATTTACCACATACTTCAATATAAGTATTCAATTTGAACGATAAATTAATTTAGTAACTGTTTAAAGTATTATATGCGGAAGTACAGTAGCGAAACATGCCCGCATTTTAAATTTCACGGGTACGTAAAACGGTGTTGCCAGAAAATGTATTTGTGTGGGGAAGGTAAACTTTAATTTTTAAACACAATTTCGAAATTTGTATCAAAATGATTTTAGAGAAGTATAAATCTGTCCATACAGTCAAAATAAAATTATTGCAGCAATTTAAAATTAGAAATTATTTAGTTTTATTGGACTAAATCATTTCTAATTGCTTTGATTTTACTATTAGTTTAAATTTTACAAGCTATATATATATATATATAGAGAGAGAGAGAGCTTTTAAAATTAATAAGAGAATTTTATTATAATTCTTGTTTATTTAAAATTTGAAAATTTACTGTAATAGACAAGTCATTTTGACGGAAGACGGTTGGAAGAATAATTTTTGTCGCAATTTTATGCTTATCGTTTCCTCTGTTTTCTATCTGTTTAATTACTTTATTAAATATTTTAAGCTATGTACAATAAATTAGCAATTTTATGAGTAATTAAATAAAATTCAGTCACAGATTTATTTTCAAGAAGTTCTATTTTACAAACGTAAATACAATTGTAGACTTCTTGATTGGCAACTTCTCTTTAATGTTATATTTTCGGTAATGAGTGACAATTTTAGTGAATTATAAGAGTAAGTCGTTAAACCTGTGATAATGCAATAAATCGGCATTCCTTATGATATTCATCATGTCTGCTATATCCTACACTGAAGATAGATATCATGCGATTTAGTTATTTCTGCTTAACAGTCAATAAATTGTGGATATTTGAGCAAGTGAGGTGATATTTGAAATTATTTATGTACTTCCATTAGAAAAATCATTTTCTTTATTGTAAGTGACAATGTCAAACACATCGAATTTTCAGAATGTGCCATCTTCACAAGTTGTGGATGAATCATCTGATGCAAATAATAGTTCTCAACATTCAAACAATGAAACTGATTCCGAAGAATCGAGTTTGAATGAAATAAAAGAGACGACTAAAAATAAAGATTCAGTTTCATTCTCTGGTGCTAGTCGCTTTGACTCTAATAGTAATATTTCTTCTCGTAGGAGAAGGGATGCAAAGTCATCGAATATAAATTCAGATAAGGGAAACTATGAAAGTGAAGAAAGCAAAAGTGCATCTCATAAAAAGGATTCTGATACAGAACTGAAAATAAAAGTTAAAAAAGAAGTGCTTTCTGATGATCCTCATTCCCCTATGTCAGATATAAATCCCCCATCGTTTACAACTCGATCGAAACAACGGAAGTTGGAAAGGCGAAAATGTCAGCGTGCTCCTAGCAGTGCAAGTAGTGCTGTTGATTCTGATGCAAGAAAAACGAAAAGTGAACCAATTTTGATTACTATTGATTCAGATAGTGATGATAATGTTTCTGTTATTTGTAGCCGGCCTAACAGAACAGCAAGAATTAGAGGCGAAATATTTAGACAGCTTTCGAGAATTAATTGTCGTTCTGCAGCTAAAGTAACAAGCTACAAAGATAGTGATTCTTCATCATCTGAAAGTGGGAAAGTGAGAAGGAAACGTAAAAGCAAAGTGAAGGTTGCAAAAGTTTCAAGAGATAAAAGAAGAAAATATTTGGTGAAACGTATTACTAATAAAAGCCATTTAAAGTTAAGAAGCAACCACCCAAAAAAACATATAGCTCAGGTTTTTAGTCCTAAGAAAACTCAGCGTCTGAAAATTAAGAATCTTCGAAAACGATTTGAAAAACAAAAAAAAGAAACTTCTGGTTTTAAAAGGCAGTATCCACTAAAGAAATCCTCACAGCAGGTTGCAAGTCCTGTCAATAAGGTCAAAAGTATTAAAAGTGAATTTGTGTCAAATGTTGTGGCTTCTACATCAGGTATATCAAAGAGAAGAGCAAGTTCAAAAAGCAGCAGTATTAAAGCAAGTGAACATTCACCTGTCGATGCTGAAGTTAACTCTGATAAAAAGCAAACAAACACAAGCATAGCAATTAATGAAGCAAGTAAATCAAATTCATCAACTATGGAAGATCGTGATATTGATTCAAAATCAAATAAGGATTTGGATGAAAAGGTAAAAAGTAAAAGTGATTCACTTCCACAGAGTGTTGGGGCTCGAAAAAGGTCAACAAGCAAAGTTTGTAATGTAAACGTGAGTGATTCTAAATTCTGTGATGTTAATGTAAGCGATTCAAAACTTAGTACTGTAAATGTGAGTGATTCTAAGATTTGCAATATAAATATGAATGATTCAAATAAATGTGAAACTGTAAATGAATCTACAAAAGCTGTAAATAAAGCTGATAAAGATACAGATATAAAGGATTCAGATAAACGTTCTGCTGTAATTGATTCTGGTAAAGCTAATGAACATGGAGAAAATAAAATTGTTACTTTGTCAGAGAAAATGGATTCTGACCCAGTTGATAATTGCTCAAAAACTCAGAACTGCTCACGTATAGAAAATAAAAATGTTGTGGATAATGAAAAGAAAGCATTAATTTCTTCTAAAGTCACAGCAGGTATTAAGAAGAAATTGAAACCTGTGGATAAAATAATTCGTCGCCGAGGTAGACCTCGTCTTTGTGATGCCAAACCTAAAGTTATTCCTGTGCTAACTGATATAAAGAAGTATCAGCCATTCTTGCAAAGCACTTTCTGCTTTGATATTGCCCAGAGGCTTTCAAAATGTCGTGAATGCCGCATTGCGCTTTATAGGAACAATCGTAGAATGTTTAATTCATATTGCCGCTTTATGGAATACAGAAAATTATGTTATACTAAAAGTGGTGCGATTTTGATTGCTGGTTTTTCAGAACCAACTGAAGCTACCCATGAACACTTGAATCAGTGGTTGCCTCAGATTCATGATCCTCCAAAGGATCTGAATAATGAAACTGCAAAGTCACTCTTAGAACATATTGGAGATCAGTTTTGTGATCTCATCGAACAAGAAAAAGAAGCAGTTTCGCTTCATATTGGGCATAGTAAAACCTTAACTTGGAAAAGAATTGTTCAAGGAGTAAGAGAAATGTGCGATGTATGTTCAACCACTATATTTAATATCCATTGGGTTTGTCCAATTTGTGGTCTTGCCGTATGTATTGATTGTTATAAAGTCCGAAAGCAGGGTATCATTGTTGAAGACGATGAAGAACAGCCAAAAGATCGAGATGAGTATAAATGGCTGTTGTGTACAATGAAGCAACCACATGAACAGGAAAAGCTACTCATGGCACAAATCATACCTGGTAATGCTTTATGGACTATGAGAGAGTTATTACATAATGCAAGAAAGAAGTGGAATATACCATCATATTGCAAATGCAATCCTCAAGCAATATCTGCTCCAGATAAGCATATTTCTACAGGTATTTGTAAACAGTTAATGAGTTTTGTGTCAAAAGCGTTTCCAGCTGTTCGAACTCATTTTAATGCTGGTGGTGAAGCAAATAATGTTAATAATGAAATTAATTATGATGACTTAGATGTTGAAGTTAATGATATAGCTCTTAGATGGTTAGAAGGAACTGACATAAATTCTGATAGTTTGAAGCAGTCAGATGATAATTTCCACAGTTATGAAGATTTTGCTATTTTAAGAGGTGATCTTCTACAGGATTTTCCGAGAGATGAAAGTGTGTCGGAATCCGAGCAGGACTTTTCAAGTATTTCTCTGGATGAAATAATTGCATGTGTTACAAAACCTCAGGGAAGTGATGAGAAAGAGGGATCTGAAAAAAGTGTTCTAAAGCATTTCAGTCAACGATACCCACAAGCAAATAGTGGAAGAGATCCTCTGCCTATTCGTATATATACTAATATAGAAAGCAACCTAGCATTTTCCAATGTACCACATTCATGGTTTTGTAATGGTCGCCTTCTGTTTCTTCATAAAGCTGATCATCCAGATAATTTAGCCTTGTTTCAAGAACAGTGGAAGAGAGGTCAGCCAATATTAGTTAAAGGGGTTGAAGAAGGATTAGACATGAGTCTTTGGCATCCTGATAGCTTCTGTAGAGATTTTGGTGAAGTGAAGAATGACTTAGTGGACTGCAGAACGGGTGCTGTATTGAAAAATTTGCCAATGAAAAGATTTTGGGAGGGCTTTGAAACATTTAGCAAAAGAATGAAAGACGAAAATGGAGAATATATGTTACTGAAATTAAAAGATTGGCCTCCAGGTGAAGATTTTAGTGAAAAACTTCCAACAAGATTTCAGGATTTGATGAAAGGATTACCTTTACCAGAATATACCCATCGTGATGGTATTTTGAACCTTGCTGGCAGATTACCATCTTGGTTTGTTCGACCTGATCTTGGTCCTAAAATGTACAATGCATATGGATCTGCTCTTTATCCTACCAAAGGAACAACAAATCTTCATTTGGATGTTAGTGATGCTGTTAATGTTATGGTTTATGTAGGCATACCCTCTGATGGAAATTCTCATCTGCACATTCAAGAAGCCCTAAAAGCAATTGACGAGGGTGGCTGTGATTCACTGATGAGACATAGAGTTAGAGGTCGATCTACAAAACCTGGTGCATTGTGGCATATATATAATGCTAGAGATGCCGATAAAATTCGTGAAATGTTGACCAAGGTTGCTATTGAACGAGGGGAGAAGCTGGAAGCCCACCATGACCCTATCCATGATCAGAGTTGGTATATTGATTCAGAATTACGAAAACGTCTGTATCGTGACTATGGTGTGGAAGGTTATGCCATTGCTCAATGCCTTGGAGATGCAGTTTTCATTCCTGCTGGAGCTCCTCATCAAGTACGCAATTTGCATAGTTGTGTGAAAGTTGCTGAAGACTTTGTATCTCCTGAAAACATTGCCCATTGTTTCAAATTAACTCAGGAATTCAGGAATTTATCTGACACACATACAAATCATGAAGATAAATTACAAATAAAAAATATTATCTATCATGTTGTACGAGATGCTCTTGCGCACTTACTTTCAAGTAATCAGACAGTGAGTTGAGCCATGGAAAGATCTCGCTTAAAACTTTGATGTCCATTATGAGGAGGAACTCAGAAATGCTGCAAGTATTGCAACTATTATGACATAGCATTTGAGTTTATTTTCATGCAATGTTTCCTAAACTGTTCGAGAGTATTGTCAAGATACTGGTTCTCAAAAGTAATGAAAATAAGATGTACCTTTTTGTTATGTATGTGCATATCTACTTATAAATGTATAAGTGTGCACACAAAATGGAGGATTACAAACAGTGCTAATGAAATAATTAGTCTGAAATGTATAGTACTTTAGTTTTGGAAACGTCGCATTCATGTATTTGCACTTTATTCATGCCTGTTAGGAAATATGAATTATAAAATGACCTAACGGTGGTCAACTTTCTGGTCATCAGTTAGTAAAATTGCTGAGGGTCATTTAATGTATTTCAAATCTTGTACATATTTGACATTCTTTTAGAAAGTGTTTCATAATTTCTAAAAATTGTTCTTAAAATGTGTGTGTTATAATTAAGCTATTATTTGGGACAATTTTGATGTTTCTATAAGAAAATGTTCCATGATTTCCAATATGTCATTACTAAATTATTATTTGAGAAAACTTTGATATATTTTTTAGGAAATGTTCATGATTTCTAAAAATTTTTCTTAACATGTGCTTGCTCTGAAAATTAATCTTAAAGTATATGTTATTGCTAAGCCGTTATTTGGAATAAATAGAATAAATACTAGAGTAACAGAGTGAAATTTTTTTTATGAATGTTGAAGGTATTGCTTAATAAATATTTAGATTCTTTTGAATTTTCTATAAGTACTCAAATTGTATTCATTAGAAAGAAAATAGAAAAATAATGTTTTAAATGTACGTACACGTTGTCTTGTCATTGAAAATGAAAAATACAAATGAATTACAGATGGGAAGATTCTGTCTAAAATAAGCATTTAGTATTTTTATAAATAACTGCAATTTTTTGTCTCATCTGATATTAATGTACTTAATAATTTACTTTTTTTTTTTTTTTTGAACCAGTAGCAGCCGAGTAATTAAAACCACTAAATACTGGGAGTTTGATCTTAGGTGAATGAACCGGCTGCATGCTAGGCTTTGGTTGGGTGGGGGTCCTCATGCATAATGTGAATACAAATCAGTCTATGTTAGAAAGTCCTCCACTAAAGCATCCTTCTCCTTAGGTGCATAACGAGCGTTGCCTCATTCAAATAACCTGTGTTTGGTTTTGCATTAAAATGTTATCATTAAAATAAACATTATTAAAAACTTTTCATATATTACAAGAAACTGTTATTTTTAAATCTACTTTTACTTCATAGTGAAATTGCTGTGTAAATTATCAGTGCTTTAATAGCTTATCTTCTATTTTAGGAAAAAAAATAAGTTGTTAAACAAAACCTTATAAATCTATTATTTTGTATTTATTATTTATGTAGTTATTAGTCATACTTATTAGAATTGAAATCAACTCGCAATCATCAGCATGGCAGACTTTAAAAACTTTGGAACTAAATTGTTAGAATCAAAATACAAACTGCTTAAGATTATACAAAAATAGATTATGCATTATCTGATGTCAGCTAACATAACCTAGAATTTTCTTCCTTTTGAATTATCAAAACTCGTAAGAAAATTGTTTTAAAAATATGTTTTAAAATTGCATAGGAATGTTAAATATTTCTTAAATATGAAATAGATATTTTTTCAAAACTTAATCATTTTAAAAGTTTGTTTTAAAATTGCATAGGAATGTTAAATATTTCTTAATTATAAAATAAGTACTTATTTGAAAAACAAAAAAATCTTATCTGACTTGCGTGTAAGTTTACATTCCTTTTAAGTTATTTTTCTCCATACTGAAGTCAATCTGATTAATTATAAAAAATATTATTAAGTCTTGAAATTTAACCGAAATAAATAAAAGAAAATTGTCAAACTTTCTCAAACTATAAAAATTTATAGATGCCATAAATATTTTACTTTGTGTTGAATGATTCAATTATTTGTTAAGTTGGAATTGATTACAATTGTCTTTTTTATTCAAACATGCTTTGATATTTTGCAAAATAACATTTGTGTTGATTTTTGTTGTACAAGCAATGTTTTACAAAATGTGGTATCTTAAAGCTACATATTTATGTTTTGCAATTTTTTTTTTTTTTTTTTTTTTTGGTCAAGTGTGTTTTATTTTTATTTGCTGATGTTATGTATTTTTAAAGTAGCAAACTTGGTTATGAATATTAGTATATTCTATGCTAGAAAAAAAAACAAATTTGACATTTTTGAAATGCCAAACCTCCCCCCTCCCCCCCAAAAAATATTTCTTCTTCTTGGCTCTCCCCTCCTTTCTTTGGTGCTTGATATACTAGTTTTTAGTGGGACATTTCTGAATTTTACTTAGGTAGTTAATTATTTCAACTATGAATTGTCTTAGTGCATAAGTGAGTATAAAATTTTCTTTTATTATGTTAAAACAGTCTGCAGAAGTATACCAGTTAATACTATATAGCTATGGGATAGTTTTTACTAATACAATATTTTTGCTTGATATTTTAGTTATTATAAATTTGTAATTAAAAAAAGTTATGTTTGTTTCATATAGGTAGTTAATTATTTCAACTATGAATTGTCTTAGTGTGTAAGTGAGTCTAAAATTTTCTTTTATTACGTTAAAACAGTCTGCAGAAGTATACCAGTTAATACTATATAGCTATGGGATAGTTTTTACTAATACAATATTTTTGCTTGATATTTTAGTTATTATAAATTTGTAATTAAAAAAAGTTATGTTTGTTTCATATTATCTTTACTACCCTGAAAAGATGCTAAAATATGCAACCAATCACATCGCCAAAATGTATTTATGTGGCAACCCAGCTCTATGCATGCATGTAGTAGATGTGAGTTGATTTCCCCCTTCAAATTCAATGGTCATTTTCCTGATTATTGTTTGTTTTTGTTCTATTCAAGTACATTATTTTTATTGAATTTGTTTCATATCCATGAAGTTGTACTGCTTAAATGATTGAATTTCATGGATAGAAATTTGCAGATTCTGTTGAATTTATGCAGTTCTCTTTCTCTCTCTCTCTCTTTTTTTTTTTTTTTTTTTTTTTTTTTTTATTTTTATGTGAAAGCAGAATTCTGTGTACATGAGGAGAATGACAGTGATGCGACGTCTAATTTATGCAAATCTCTGTTGTCTCCTGAAGTTAAAACAGATCACTGTGTATATGGTGATAGCAGCAATTTAAAATTCTTGCATTTTTAATTGTGTTGATTAGTTGTTGTGTTATTTAATTCTTAGTGCACCACCATTTTTGATATCTTTCATGTCTTACCTTGGTGAAAAATTAGTTTACTTTTCAGTAAAGAAAAGTATCACAGTTTCTTATAAAGCTTAGTTGCAAAATAACTGTCTTAATTGTAATGCAGTGTGCAGTGCATGTAATCCTGCTGAACTATTCAGTTATATTATCAACTTCAGTTTTTAACTTCCTTCGTTCTCATTTGTATACTAATATCTCTTGTTACTAGTAAATCCTTGCTATCTTGCTAGACCTACTAAGTGAATGAGTGAAGTTTAAGAAACTATTTGATAGCGATAAAAGAAAGAACTTATGTGAAGATGAATAAAAAAAATATACCCCTTAAAAAGTTGTGAATTCATTGGCAGGAACTTTTTGCCAAGCTAATGTGCAGAAAAACAGGCTTTTTCAAAGTGGCGGCACACTGAGGGTTGCCTGCTAGTGCAATCGATCAATAAAATTAGAAAAGCAAGAAATATAGGTAGTAAAACACCTACCATCTTAAAGTTTCTTTTTTCCCACTGGTATTCTTCCCATATACACAACAATTTGTTTTTGCTTAAAAAATATTAGAAAATTGCACAAACCTGGCATAGAGCAATTTGACATTGTGCACCAGGCAAAGCAGATGTACTACACATATAACTGGATTTCCCATAACTATTTTGGCAATGTATTACTTTTTCTCATGAATACTTTTTTGCACTACTTCAGCAGGGAGGGGGAGATAATCAGAAAGTAACAAAAAAAATTTTTTAAAATAAACTTTTATTTAAAATTCTTAAACTAATTAATGAACAACAAGGAGAAAAATAGTTGATCATATAATTTAATGGGGAAAAGCTTAAATAATCATCTTTGAAAAATTAATTTTCAATTTTATATCACGAATAATAAAAACATCGGACATTTGTGATAAATTTATAAAGGTAATGATTTGTGCTTTTGACAATAAAACTTGCATGTTAGATATCATTATTTATACATTATATTGTGATTTATGTTTCATTGAACAGTTTAGTAAAAATATTAATGCATTGAAAAAATGTCAAAATGTGCCAAAAATATACGTCATGAGTTAAATGAAAAAGCACAAGAACTATCTGCTTTTGTCTTGTGGAGGTCTCTATATTTGAAACTACCTTACACTCATGTTACACAAGAGGTAATGATGAAAACCAACAATGAAGCCAGTCTATTTACCTGAGTTTGAACGCTGAGTATTCAGCAGTGTTAACCACTTGGTCATTGGTGGGGCCATATAGTGGGATAGAAGTAGCCGATTATGCTGTTTGCTATAATAAATATAGCAAACAGCTATATTTATATAGCTATAATAAATATAGCAAACAGCAGAACCGAAATCCAAGTATTTTATATTGAAAAAGCATAAAGGCGGGAAGTTTTTAAAAATTTCTCAAATATAGATCCAGTAAATTTAATTGGTTTGATAAAACCTGATAGAATGGAAAGCATAAGCATTTAGTTGTGTTTTCTCTGACCAATAAATTTCCATATGAATATCCCAGAATTCGATACCAGTTGATGTGACTTTTTCATTATTTGATATTTTATTAAGTTACCTGTGGAAGCAGAAAAGTTACAACTCTAGCTTTAAAACAATTTGAACTTAAGGCATTTCTTTTAAAATGTCTTTTTGGTATTCTTATTTCATAGTTTTCAAGCACGAAAATAATGCTGTAGCATAATATGTTTCAGATTTTGGAGGTTCACAACGTTTCTGCTTGAATAATTTTTACGGCAATGTCGCTTTCTTTTTTGTATATGTTAATCCTAATAATGTTTAAAAGCAAAGTGTTTTCAGTTGCACAAACACCACTTGAAAGTTCAACATAAAATTTTGCATATAAATAGACAATAAGGTCATGTAGTATTTAAAATTATAGCACTATTTTAAAGGAATCCTAAAATTATTTGGTAATACTACCAGGAATGGCAATGACTTTTCAGTGCTTGAGCTTCATGTTTAAACATAGTAAAATTGCTTGATGCATTATTATAGATATTAATACATGATGTTGAAAATATATGTTATAAATGAGTAGCAATTACAAGAATTTAAATACATTTTGAGTTCATTTGCTGTTCTCAGAGTTATCAGTTTATGTGAATTTAGCATCATTTTGCCTGCATTTGTAAGTTAATTTGGGATTATACAGTAATTTTTGTGGTGTTTAATGGTCTGATGCAATTTTATGAAGAAAATTACAAGTATATTTAAGCAAGAAAGCTAATTTACCAGAATGTTTGTATAACTATTGTGGCCTGCATTATTTTACTTTTAAATAAACCTAGCTCTTGATCAAATCATGTTTCCAATTCCAGCTTTTAATTCTGTGAATTCATATATTTTAATTATTATTTGATGAATTTACAGTAACACTTTAAATGGGAAACAGTTTATTTTTATTGAGTATTATATTTCCTCATCTTTAATTCTGTGACTATATTTCTGCAGTCTTCACGAAGGCCGCAGTTTTTTAAATTATGATTGTTCACAATTAATACTTTACTTCTCTATTTATCTATGTATTTTAAATTAAAGCATGTATCTTAGATGTGTGTTTTTGAAGTGCAGTTAACGATATTTAGAATCTCAAAAATTTTATAAAAACAAAAATCAAATGCAAAAAATTATTTATGTCAAATTGTTGTTTTCATTACTATGCATGTGATTAAATTCCTATGAATCAGATGGGCTGTAAATATTTGCCTTTTTCGAAACTGTTAAGTCCTTAATCCTATTTATAGAAAAATAGAGAATTCAAATATTTGATGGGATCAGATGCAGATTCTGGGGGCATTGAGCAGTTTTTGCTGTCGAATGTTGCTATATGTATTATAACAGTTTTATTGTGTATTTGTGAGAATAAATTACTCGTAAGGAATATTTCTTTTGTCAAACCAAATATGTAGCTGTAATGATTTGTTGTCAGAATTATGCATTGCTAATTTTCAGTCTAAAAACAGTGTTTGAACTTTTTTTTTTGTTGTTGTTGTTGTTGTTTGAGCACTTATTTTTATAGTGGAGTCAAAATATTTAAGTATTTATATACTATGTGTTATTCAGCACTTAAGTTGTTATCTACCAAAGATTAAACTCCATTTCATGTGTAAATAATACTTTTCATTCAGTTTTTATTAGTGATGTATTATTGAAAAAACAGCATTCATTCAGAATTCATGAGACTATTTTAATGGATTTATTGCAGTTTTGCATGCTGGATCAAGATGTATATATATTTTATGTGTTTTTTTTTCTATGTATGTTATCACTAAATATTAAAAAATATTCATGTTCTTTGAAGAAATTTTTGTGAAAGAAATAATTTTAAAATCTTAATTCATTTAATAATAACATTTAAATTTTTCTTATAAATAAATTGCAAAAGTTTT